TCCCTTGATTCAGCTATTTAAGGGGTTACCCACTGATGTTCAGTGGTGGGGGACAAAGCTTCCACTCCCCAATATTCCCATTTTGGGGCTTGTATGGTCACACTGGGACAATCACATGAATTGTTTGTTGAGATGTGAACTCCACACTGGTTGGCACACAAGCCTCCTCAGTGCCAACCCCTGCCCCTCTGGCTGCTGGGGCCCATCACGGGACGCCTGGATGTGCCTGGACCCAGCCCTTACAGGGGCTCCGGCAGTCTTCAGGCAGTGTCAGTCTGTGTGCTCAGGGCTGGGCCTGCTGACTGCTAATACCCATCCTCAGCCTCTCAGCATGATAGAACCTTCACAATTGTTCACCGCGTGATTGTTCAGATTCAGGATTTCATTATGTCTATGTAAATACTGTTCACCATGGAACCAATTTGTAACTATGATTACATTTCTTGTATAGTTTTGTGCTTTGCTGTAGTGAATAACTACCTGATTTTTTGTTTCCTTGAGCATCTAGTGCCATAAAATAAATCACTTTCTGCATGGTTAAAATGAGCACTGGTGTTGTCAGTTGTATTTTTTCCTCCTGAAAACCTCTTTGGAGTCCTAGTCTTTTTTCAACCTGGTCTCACGGGACTGCTGTCCAGACCAGCGGAGTAGTTGGTGTCCTGTGGACTTGAGGGCCCTGCTTTCTGGGGCATCTGTTTCCCAGATCCCATGGCTGCTTTTTCGCTTGCCCTTTGCAGTGGGTCATGTCCCCCGTAGTGTGTAAGGGGTAGTAGTGGTAGAGTCAGACTACTCTGGAAGCACTTTTATTTTCATCAGAACTTGTGTATCTGCGAATGGCTTTTGGAACCCTTAATAGTCACATTTGATATCAGCTTGGCCACTAGTTTGCCAGACATTTATGCCATTTCCAGATTTACTGCTTCTGGACCTTCTAGGTTCTAGAACTGCTTTGTAACTCGGTACCGATTCAGTTCTCCTTATTTTACGATCTTACTTCCTCTGCTGAAACCTTTAGGAACCTTTCTTTATCCTTGGTGTTCTATCATTTCTCAAGGCAGGGTGATTTTTATTTGTATGTTTTGTCTTTTTTTATCCCATTTGCTAATGCTCAGTGGTCTGTTTCCTTCTGGAGACTTAATGTCTTTGTTCTCTAGTCCTACAACAAAATCGTCTGGCTGAGTGATTTACAAAGGAAAGACACTTGTTTTAGGCCACGGTTCCGGAGGCCAAACACATGGAACTGGCTTGGCTTTGGGTGAGGATCTGCACTTGCTCTCGCCTGATGGGAAGGGGAAGAGGTGGGTTTGTTGGAGATCCCACGGCAGGACAGGCAGCGAGAGGGCGAGATGAAGAGCGCAAACTTCACATGATCCTGTCTTGAAGGACTACAACCTTTCATGAAGGTCAACCCATCTACTCAACTGTCACGGGCCCCAGCCCCTTCTGCACACTCTCACATGGGGACCAGGCCTCTGCACATCTTGGGGCCAACCTACATCCAAACCGTAGCACCCTGTCACCTCGAGCTGTGAGAATATTTGTGTGTCATTTCCACTGTCATTTTATTTGAGATACATATCAGCCCACTCACTCTTCTAAAGTGCACTGTTACCACTATCAGTTTGAGAGCACTTCTATCACCCTCTTTGACACCATCCTCTCCCCCTTGTGACTAGATTGGACCTTCGATTATCTTCTGTATTCTCTGCTGCGATTTAGGTGTGCTTGGTACTGGGACTGAACTCAGGGCCTCATGCATGCTAGGCAAGTGGTGTACCACTAGCATACACCCTCACTCCAGGGAGGAGTTTAAGACCCTATCCAATCCAGCCTTCTTTTTCCAATAGGGAGATTAAGATTTCATCTTTTCCTTCTACCTTTCCAACATTTCCTGTTCACTTTTAATCCTAGCTTGCTAGTCCTTGGCCTATGCAGAAATGCAACTTCTGTTACAATGTATACTTTTTCAGTATTACTGATGTAGTCCTTTTTCTCAATTAATAATGCTTAAATGTTGTCTTTCTCAAAAATATTTTTATTTAAACTCTGCTTAACTGGAATGAAACACTAGGTTCTCAAGACTACAAGCCTCAGTTGTCTGGCTGTATAATAAAACATACTTTTAAAAATTATAA